GCGTGGTGTGTGGGGGTCGGGGTTGGGTGGGGCGGGCTGTGGCTGCGCAGTTTACCTTTCAGCCCAGGGATACCAGGCATCCCATCCATTCCATTAAAGCCGGGGTCTCCTGGATGGCCCCTGTCGCCGGCCAGGCCGCCGTCACCTCTGTCCCCAGCGAGACCTTTCATGCCCACGGGTCCCGGGGCACCGGTGTCCCCAGGGTCGCCCCTGTCCCCGGGCAGACCTGTCGGGGGAAAGCAAACTCAGGTGAGCAAGGAGCCTGTCTCCTCCAAGCCTGAGGCCCAGCCCAGAAGCTCCTCTCACGAGGACTGCGAGTTGCCCAGCCGTGGGGGAGAGGCCGGGCTCGGGCAGGGATGGTGTCCAGGGTCAGCGGGGCGTCCTGAGCTCTGGAGTCCCACAGCCAGCTGCCTCCTCACTGCCCCTCTGTTAAAAGCCACCACCGGCTGTCTTTGCCTCAGTTGCCCCTAACCCTTAGCTCGGCATTCAGTGCCTTCTCCATCCGAGGTGGGAGCTCTAGGCCAGCCGTTCCTGGTGTGCAAAACGCAGGGGGGGCACGCTTGCTTACCCAGCACGGTCTCCTCTGTCCCCCCTCCAGACTGGACCAGGGTTTGAACCTTTGCAGTGGGAACTGCTTTTATTTTTCTTTCTCTATTAAAACCTGCCCTAGATGACCAGTGTATACACAGGTACAAAGGAAGAGACTTCTCGGCTGTAATCCCCGCCGTGAAATACTTGTCCCGTGTCTGGAACCCCTGCAGCAGCTCTTGTGCGTTCCTTGGGCCACAGTTTGAGGACCCCTTCCCTCCTTGGGGCTGCCAGACCCCTACCTTCACCTCCCGGGATACCGGGCAGCCCCAAGGGCCCCTCTGGGCCGGGAGCTCCTGGGAATCCGTGCCGTCCTGGAAGTCCGGGCAGTCCCGGGAATCCCGAGGGTCCTGGGGCACCCGGCTGGCCCTTGAGCCCTGGCATTCCGGGCATCCCCTGGCTCCCTGTGGGAAGGGGAAAGACAGTGGTGAGGCTGGGTCCGCCTGCAGAGAGGATCTCAGGTTCTGGTTCCAGAGAGTTCAGAGACACAGAGAAGGGGCAAAGCCGCAGCCTCGCAGCCTCACCCAAGAGCCCGCTGACACGCTGGCTAGTTTCCTTCCACCTTTCCTAGTGCTATACCTGTTTTCACATTTCTGTCTGCTCTCTGCAAACATTTCGCTGGCTCTGATAAGACCCCGCTGTGGGCACAGTTAGGTGTCACTGGGTGGGGGCTTGGTGCACTAGGGAGTCGTCCCGGAAGGCCACTTAGTGGCCACAGAGAGCCCTTCCCACGCCTGCCCCGCTTCAGACTCTGCTCCAGTTCTCTGTGGACCGTGTCACGCCTGGTGCTGGGCTGCAAACTTGGGGGCTGTGCCAGCCCGCTTCCCTGATGATCACCATTTCTTCTCCTCTCTGCTTTCTGGTGAAGTTTTTATTCTTTGCTTGTGTGTCCCTTTGGGGATTCTGAGACTTTTATTAGAGATCCTAGTAGTTCCTAAGGGCGGGAACATGCGTGGGACGCACCTTCTAACGTTGGAGCACAACTATTTTTACTTTTGCTGATCTAATTTTTTTAATGTGTAGATCTTTTTGGGGGGTACCAGGGATCGAACTTGCAACCTTGTGCTTGCAAGGTGAGCGGCAGAACCACTGAGCTAAATCCCCGGCCCTAATGAGTAGAAAATTTTAACATTGCATGCTAACTTTGTACACACTGTGCTCGTGTGCATGGGTGTCCATGTGTGTGCTGTGTGTGTGAGTATACACTTGTGTGTCACTGCAGCTGAGCCCTGGCCGGACAGGTGGAGCAGGACCATCCTGTCAGCACTGCCATGAGTGTGTGGGTGGTGTGTGTGCCACGTATGCGTGAGTCCCTCTGTGCCCACGTGTGCACGCCGCCACCTCAGCCTCCTCCTTCCTCTCTGGGCTGCAGCCCTGCCCTCTGCCCCGTGCACCCTGCGGGAGCCGGTCAGCCCCGTGTCACTGCCTTCTCCTCTCACGGGGACCCCGCCAGACACCCAAACGCCATGTCCTGCTCCTGTCACAGCCTGGGCTGCACTCGCCTGTGGGTCCCGCTCTGAGGACACCTGGCCTATGCCCCACAGAAGCCCAGAGGAACTGAGACAGAGCCAGCCCTGATGAATGGCCTGACAGCCACCCACGCTGTCTTCGTCAGGACTGGCTGGGCTCCCAGTGCCAGGCTGGGCCACTGGGCCCCGCTCTGCACCAGGCCAGTGTCTTCCTACTTCACCCAGCAGCTGGGGGACACCGTGCACAGCAGGGTGTTTAGCAGTGCTTGGTTTGGATTCCAGTCCCTGAGCTGCACTGGGACTGTTCCCGCCTCCCCGCAGCCAGTGCCCAGTGTGGCAGGCCTGATGCCCCTGTGACTGCACAGGCTGCTGGACGTGAGGCTGGCACAGCCCGGGCAGCAGAGCACAGTCACCCTCCTCAGTTCCCCAGGGTGACCCAGGTCTGGGGCGCCCCACCCTACTGTGGGGCTCACCTTGGAATCCAGGGGCTCCTTGTTCCCCCGGGAGGCCTTTCGGCCCGGGGTGTCCAGGTAGCCCGGCATCTCCCCGGGGCCCAGGCTGGGCCCCCAGCACCTCTCCTGGAATGCCCCTGTCCCCAGGGGGCCCTGCAGGGCCTGGAAGGCCGCTGGAGCCCTGCAGTCCATCTGGGCCAGGCAGGCCCACAGCACCCTTGGATCCTCGGGGTCCCATGAACCCTAAAAGGAAATAGGGAGGCCCCTCAGCCTCAGGTTAGCATGGTCACGTTCTGAGCCTGGGAACACCAGTGCTGCCCACCTGGCTCTTCCCTGCCCTGCTTACCTGGGGGTCCCGGGTACCCTTCGCGGCCTGGGTCTCCAGATAAGCCCTTGAGCCCCGGCGGTCCGTCCACTCCCAAGAATCCTGGGGTCCCTCTGGGGCCTTTGTCACCTGGACATCAAAAAGTCACCAAGCCACATCAGTCCCTCCAGGCTGGGGAGAGGGGCACCCCAGAGCAGCACCTTGGGGCTCAGAGCAACTTTCTCTGGGTGCCTGCCAGCAGGGACCTCCCATCCAGCCTGGGGTGCAGCTGGGGGTCCACACACTCGTTCCTCCCCAGGGAGGGTCAGAGTCTGGCCAGGGCCTTGGGATGCCAGACTCCCACCCCATCCAGGGTCCAGGTGTCGGGGGCAGGGGCAGCACATTACCTGAGGGCCCAGGGGGGCCGGGCTGTCCAGGTGATCCCTTGGGGCCTCCAACGCAACCTGGGAGAGGAAGGAGGGGCTGAGCGGGCGGGGGAACCGTTGTGTAACCCGCAGCCCCACTAGTTAATTCATCTCGGGTCTGATGCAAATAAATGTTTAATTCCACTGTGTTGTGACACCAATACAGCATAAGGCAGAAAGAAACCAGAGGCAGCTGGTCACAGCAGCAATGTGTGCTACTGTCCCCACGAAGACAGTCGGCCCTGGTCTCTGGATGCGTCCTTGACCAGAAATGCCTGTCAGCAGGCGGAGTCTCCCTGAGACTGCAAAAGGATCTCTTCGGCCTCCTTTTTGGTGGGGGGCAGTACCTGGGATGAACTCAGGATCTTGCACTTGTGAGGCAGGCAAGGTGCCACTGAGCTAACTAAATACCCCACCTCTGGCCTCTTTCTTTTGAGACAGGGTCTTCCTATGTGCAGAAGGCACTGATTACTGATGATGCCCTAAGATCTGTGAAGAGTGAACCCCACAACTGGCGTTTACAGAAGTGAGTCTGGCTGAAACCTATGTGCCGAGGTCAGAGTAACTCACACCCAAATTCCATTCCCACAACTAAACCCTTCTAAGTGGGACAGTGTTCTAATTACAACCATGTATTTTGTCTGTTCTGTTCCTAATTCGATTGCTTTGTCCTGTCCTTTACCTCGCTTACATTAACTGCCACAGAAACCACACAATGGTGTGTATCCCTGACCTTGCATGTTATTTGCCTTTACCCCAGTTGATTGCCAATAAAAGTCTGCCTGGGACTGGCCAGTGCCTTTGTCAGTTGCCCCAGCTTTCTCTCTCCTAGTTGTTGTTCAGTTTTATTTCTCAGGCCTGCACTGTACAATGGGCAGGATGCTGGAACCTAACTGCAGAGGTCTCACTACTATGTATTTATTCCAAGCTGACCTTCAACTCACTGTGTAGCCCAGGCTGGCCTCGAACTCAGGGCCAGCCTCCTGCCTCAGCCTCCCGAGTACTGGGATGACAGGCGTGTGCCCCATACCCGGCTGCGGCTGCTCCCTGTGGCTTGATGGAGCGGCCATACCGGGAGGGTGTAGGCTCCCAGGCCGTCTTCCTCCTGGTGGCCTGAGCTTGTGGGGCCCGACCTGGAGCTCCCACCTTCCAGCAGGAAGGGTGTCCCTCAAGAGGATCTGTCCCCACCCATCCCTACTGGCTGGCTGTGCAACACAGTATTTTCAAGCCCCTCTGCAAGCGAGGCAGACATGCTCACCAGCTGCACCTCCACGCCCTGCCCTGGGAACCAGAACCTGAATGGTGCTGAGGGTCGGAGCACCCGGGCTACACAAACCCCACTGGCCACACCGACAAGACGCTGCGGCCATCTGACCCGCAGCCCGAGGGCCCCTCCTGCCACTGTGCCTTGGTGAGGGCCTCGCAGCCCCTGTCCTTCCTGGCCCACTCCTGGCCAGGTCCTTGTCCTCGCCCTGTGTGAGCAGGGTGCCCACCGCCATCCCCCGTGGCTGCGGAGGGAGCCTGGCCCTGCATCATGAGCCCCACCACGCTCCCGCCAGCCCCGAAAGCGGAGCTGCGTCCTGTCCGTGGGGGACTCAGGGTCCGGCCTGTCCTCGACTCTGCGAGGAAGCAGATGCACAGCCCTGTGGGCAGGCGACCGCTCCCACCTGGTGCCTGTGAGCCGATCTCCACCTCCAAAACGTACCTGGCTGCACGGGTTCCTGTCTGTCACCTCCGATGGGCCTCTTCACACCCGTGTCACAGTCTGGGGAGATGGCAGGAGAGTGAGGCCTACAATGCCTGCTCAGTGTGCACAGGGTGAGTGTGTCTGTGTGGGTGCGGGTAGGGGCCAACCCGGGGAGCCCGTGGGCATTGTCTCACGCCCAGGCAGCAGTGGCAGCCACGTCCTTGCAGAGCCTGAGGACACGCAGGGCAGAGGAGCAAGGGAGGGGACCTAGCCAGGCCGAGCCCAGACACGAAGAAGGCCTGCTCTGTCTCACCTGTCTCTGCAGGGCTGCCTGGGGGGCCGGGAGGGCCGGGGAAGCCTCGGGACCCGGGCAACCCTGCATCCCCTGGGAAACCCTGCTCGCCCTTGCGGCCTGGCAAGCCCAGGCCTGGGGGGCCCATCTCTCCTGGGGGGCCCTTGGTTCCGGGTGCTCCTGGGGGACCAGAGTCTCCTGGGGGGCCTTTGATGCCATCGCCCTGTGGGAAAATCCAGGTCAGCTCAAAATAAAGATAAATATCACAGACGGCCTGACTCCTCCAGCCCACAATCCAGGCCGTGGGTACAGAGCGACCCAGTCCCTGACAGCTCTAATATGCCAGACAAGCACCGGCTGAGCCCTAGCACTAGTGGTTTACATTCTGTTTAGAGATAGCATCCCACTAAGTTGCCCAGGCTGGCCTCCAACTCAAAATCCTCCTGTTTCAGCCTCCCCAGCCTGACATCTGGGATTTGGGGTGCGACTGCCACACCTGGCTCAGACAGGCCTTCTTCAGAAGCGGGTCACAGAGCCACCTGTGCCAGCTGGCCAGTCTGCACTCAACTGTGCTGAGTGTGTCATTACAGAAGACACAACGCAGGCACAGCAGGAACAGAGGGGCCTGGGCCGTGGAGCCCGAGATAGACCGGCTGGATAGAAGGGAAGCTTGTGGGAGGGGCTGTCCCCCCACCTTGAGGGGGCTGCGTGTGAACGCAGGGTTGGAGCAGGTTCGTGCTGCCCACTGCAGGACCCCCCGCCATTGAGGGCTCGCTCTTGGTGACACCGTGAGGAATATTATTTCATCTTTGATGTTCATGTTTGCGCTGGGCTCAATTCCCATGTAACTCCCTGCTCCTGGATACTGTGACCCTCGGCCCTCTCTTCCCTGAGACAGAGCCGCCCTGTGCTACATTCGGTGCTTCAAGGCCAAGCCCGACACTGCTCTCGGAGCCAGGGCTGGACAGCCCTGCCCTTGGTGGCTACTCACAGGCGGCCCAGGGAGTCCAGGGAAGCCATCGAGCCCATCTCGGCCGGGGGCACCATCGTCACCTTTCAGCCCGTGCACACCGGGGATCCCGGGCTGTCCCCGCTCTCCTGGGGAAGGATTTGTGTGTGAAGCCACTCATGGGGCTGGGAGGGAGGCCGAGGGCCAGGGGCCGGACCACCAGAACCCACCTTTGGTGCTGAGCGTCCTGGAGTCACCTTTCGCTCCCTTGGGTCCTGGTGCCCCGAGGCTGCCGGGGGTGCCCTGAGGAGACAACAGGTGGTGCTAGGGGTGCGTCCAGTGGCCAGGGACCCCCGAGAACCTCCCTGCGACGCTGAGATGCTGTGTCTGTGAGCGGCCGCGAGCCTGGGAGGGTCAGGCCCTGGAGTGGAGGCTGTGGGCCCTGGGAGCTGGGTTTCCAACTATCTTTAAAATGTACTGAATTGCCACGAAGCAGCAGCGGTCCTGGAGCCTCAGTACTGCAAAGGCAATGCCTGGACACCCCCTGACCATCGCCTGGCGGCGGGGCAAGAGGCTGGGCCTGTTCCCACCCTAGCAGGTGACCTCGCAGTTGCTGGGCAGGCGGCGCCACCGAGCCACATCCCTCGTCAGCAGTGAACTGTGACCTGCATCCCCAAGGTCCCTGGATTTGGCGAAGCGCAGAGCTAAACCGCAACGTTAACTCCTAACTCCAGTGGTGGAGAAGCCAGGCAGGCAGGAGCTGCGAGTACAGTGAGGCTCATGAGCATTTGCCACAGAGAGGAGAGCAATGCACGCGCCTGCCCCTCACAGAGTGATGTGCGGTTCGGGGACATCATGCTGGGAGGGAACTACTGCAGGGCGAGCAAAGTTCAGGTGCAGACCCCACAGTGGCTGGCAGCGAGGTGCCGGTCCGCCAGAACGCGGGAGCGGAGTGGGCTGAGGGAGACGGAATGTTGCACTCGGGTGACAGTGCGAGTCCTCGCCTCCTCGGGAATTCCACACGTGCCTGATTTATCGATTTGGGTCTTTGCAGAAAAGCGCGACATTCTCTCAAGAGTCTAGGACCGTGTCTCGCACACAGCTGGTGCTCAGTAAGTGTGCACTGGGTCAGTGGATCGACCCCTGCATTTTACTCAGTGGCAGAACAAATATTAGAAATAAACTACACGGTTACAGGAAAACCAGGCGCTGCTACTGCAGTGGGTAGCCCGACACAGAGAAATGCGAGATGACCAACATGGGCAGAGCTGGCAGAGCTGCGTGGGTGTGTGGCACAGGTGCACGTGGGCGGCTGTGGCACAAATACAGGACCCTCTGGCCCCTGTGACAGTGGGGCCGCTGCTGTCTGGTCCTCTGAAAATCTGAGCACCTGTGCGGCTTAGACAGCCAGGGCGTGGGGGTGGTGTCAGCTTTAAAAGAAGATGAAAGGGCAGCTACTGGACAAAGTGCTCCTGGACACTGCGACCCTCTGCCCCTCTGTTCCCTGAGAGGCCCTGTACTGCATTCGGTGCTTAGGGCCAAGCCCGACACTGCTCCTTGGACGCGAGGGGCCCCATCCCTGCTGATCCCCTACTTGTTCTCTGGGGGACCCCAGGTGCTGTGGGCCTCTCTGCCTGGAGCCCCGGCCGAACGTGGCCACAGCTCTCTGGAGTGAGGTATCCCAGGACAGCCCTGAGCTGAGCGAGTTCTTTCTTTATCACTGAGTACACAACACAATGGGCCTCTCTTTTTATACTTCTTCCACAGTTCTCTTTTGAGGCTGCAAAGTAACAAAGTACAGTTTCTTTGCCACATCTGTGTGGCCTGGGGAGGTCTGGGAGGATCTGCCTGTGGCCTTGGCCCCGCTGAGGGACAGGGAGCTCCACAGTCCCCAAAGCAGCCTCCTGGGGACCCAGGAGCTCCCTCTCTAATGGGGGAAGGAGCCTTCGTTAGATGCTGACATTTGAGCAGAAGATACCCAGGAGGTGATGTTAAAAAAGCTAGCAGGGGCTTTAGCTCATTGGTTCTGATGCTTGCCTTGCAATCGCAAGGTCCCAAGTTTGATCCCTGGTACAAAAAAAAAAAAGTGGCTAGCAGATTTTTGTTTTGAAATATAGCGCAGACCACACAATCCACCTACTGAAAGGGCAAAATTCAGCGAGCTCCTTTTCCACGGAGCCATCTGGCACCTGCTGTCCTGAGGGGTGGGACACTGATTCACTCGCACCAGCGCCCACACATCTCTGCGGGGTGCTCACACCAGGAGTGGTGCATCGGGGTCGGTGCTCACTGGGCCCGACTTGCTCGGGCAGAGACTTCCTCTTCCACCACTGAACATCTTCATTCGCCCTGTAATCTGCGGCTTTTGGGGTACTAGGGATTGAACCAGGGCCTTTGCACTAAGCTGCATCCCCAGCCCTTTTAAATTTTATTTTGAGACAGGGTCTTGCTGGAACTTGTGACCCAGGCCTGGGCTGGAACTTGTGATCCTCCTGCCTCTGCCTCCCAGAGTGCTGGGTCACAGGGGCACCAGACGCTGCTGGCTTCTGGAAATGCGCCTCCCGCCCTGGGGCACCAGCCTGGGCCACGCCTCCCTACTCAAACTGGCTGCCAGGGGGCGCCGATTTCTCACCTTGAACCCTGGGAACCCAGGGGTGCCATGCTGGCCAGGATCTCCTGGCTCCCCTTTCCAGCCTGGCCTCCCACTGGCACCTGGGAAACCCTTGAGTCCTGGCAGTCCTGGAAGAGCCCCGGGGAACTGATCGCTTTCAACACATTTGCAGTCTCCAGCGTCACCTGTGGATGATGGAGAAGGTGGGTCTGTTAGAAGGGCTTGGGGTGCAGCGGGGGAACACATGGATGAGGTCTAGCTGTGTGGCCCAGGCTGGCCTCAAACTCACAGCCACTCTCCTGCCTCAGCCTCCCCAGTGTAGGCAAGACACTTGTGGCATCAAGGCGACACTCAGCAAGTGCTAGACTTGGGGTTGGGGATGCTGACTGGTCGTGGAACAGGAGGGGGGGTGCCCTCTGGAGGCGGGGTGCTGCCTTCCCCGCTCCCCACCTTTGTCGGACCCCTTACCTTTGCGTCCTTTCTGTCCATTCAGCCCTGGAGTGCCGAAAGGCCCAGGGTAGCCCCGGCTCCCTTGTGCTCCTTTAAGGCCAAACAGGAAGCCTAAAGAGAGGCACACAGGACAGACTTTAGTGCGTCACTGACACTTGCAGGGTGCCACAGGGAAGAGGGCAAGAGCTTCCCGCTGGAGTGGGGGCTCAGCCGGCGCACGTGACTGCACCCTGCTCCACGCCTGTCTGCATCTGGGAAAGGGCGCACAAGTGCTCACACGCGCCTGCCCCCTCAGTGTGCATACACACTGGCACGCATGGGTTTAGCGTCATTCACGTGGGTCCCTGGTGGCTCCCAGGGCCAGGCTGGGCTTCACTGGACCCCGATCCCGCAGGACGTCACCAAGGGGGGGACAGTCCAGGCTCTAAGGCGGCCGGATGGAGGTGGCCTCGGGGAGCAGTGACTTCTGGGGGTGGCCACCGGCTATGCACTCAGGGTGCAGCCCCAGATCTCTGGCTGGGCCAGCAGCACTGCAGTCCAGCGAGCCAACAGAACCCCTGTGTGAAAACCCAAGGCCTGCTGCAGAACGGGAGGGTCCGTGCCCTGGCGGGGCCGCGGGCTGCCCAGGGAAGACGAAGACGGCACGAATGCTGCCCCACATCCTCTGGGGTCTCTACGCATTTAGGGCCCAGACCTGGATGCTGGCGTCTTAAGTGGGGACAGAGGGGCAGTGGTGTGCGGGGTGGCGATGCCACACACTGGGTGAGGTAGCTCTGCTCATCTCGCTCATCCTCTCCAGACCTACGCTACCGAAGGGGCCGCGTCCGGGTCCTCAACTCGGCTTGTACAGAGAGCCCAGGACGGACAACAGGAGCAGCGTGGACTGTGAGGCCAGCTGCCCAGCGGACTGCTGCAAAGAGGCCACGCACGGGGCGGGAGAGACGGATATCCACACGCGCATGGGGAACTCAATGTGCACTTCACACTTTTATGGCTGATTCGCTCCATCTGATACCATCCCATCTACTTATAAATCCGCTCAGGTCTATAAAATAGATCAGAAATAAGTCACACCACTTGCAGTTGACTGACGTTAGTAAATCACAGGTTTCCTAAGCAAGGTTTATAAATCAAGATGGTGTGTGTTTCTGTCTTTATCAAACCGAGTTCAGTTACGGAATCATGGCTAGGTTAGTTTTCTGTCCCGGGGCATCCTTTTAAGCTTTTATTTTAACACACGTTCTGTTCCCAAGAAGGAAACTTGTAGATACTTAGGAAAGACAATTATCATGGAAACTTGGCCATCACTGCACTTGTCAGGTTAATAATGTAGCTTCCAGCAGGACAGAGCATAGAAAAGACAGACGGAGTGGCACAAACTCTTGTTTGGCAAGTTCACAGTCTAGGGAAATGGGGTGTGGCTTTCTAGTTGAAAGAAAATCGGGAAAGCAGAGTAACAGTAGGTTAAAAGTTGACTGTAGAGGGCCGGGGATTTAGCTTAATGGTTTCATTGCCTGACTTGCAAGCACAAGGTCCCAAGTTCGATTCCCAGGACAAAAAAAAAAAAGTTGACTGTAGAATATGAAATAGAAACAGAAGCGACTGCCGATTGTTTCAGTGGAAAAAATACACTTCTAGGAGCTCCTCAGACTCCCCACCTACAGATGGTGGGGGGACGGAGAAACACCCTCCCCAAGGCACTAAACACGGATGTTTGAATTCAACTAAACTGCGGTCCCACGCCGTCATTTCTCCACAAAGTCTTCTCCACGGAAGCGGGATGTGAGGGGGCCACGGCAGAGCACCAGAAGGAATCACGTGGAAAAGCAGTGGCTGCGGCTCTTGGCATCGCCCAGGAAGAGCTCAGGACCTTGCTCCTCAGCCCCACCCTCTCACCTCTGAGGGCCTAGAGGTCCTTGTTAGGGACCTCCCTGCGCCCCGAAGCCTAGCTGAGCTCAAAGCCGGGTGCACACAGGTCCGCACGGCCACGGTACCAGGGGAGCAAGGACGCACAACAGGTGGCGGTGCCCTCGCTGGCCTTGCTCCTAGGCTTCTGGGTCTCAGTGCCAGCCCCACTTCGTATTACAGAAGGGCGGCACCTCATCCAGTCCCTCCTGCTGGGCTGTGCCCGGGGGAAGGCAGATCAGCAAGTCTGCTGAGAGGAGGAGGGGGTCCAGGCAGGGAGCTCACCAGGAGCGCAGGCTCAGCTCCCGCTGGTACCCAGGGGCGTCACCACCTCTCAGCTGGCTGCTAGATATCAGCCCCTGCGCCCTGCCCTCAGCCACTAACTTGGGGTGCACCTTGCAGCCTGCCCAGGGATCCAGGGAGTGCGCCAGGCCCCATCCATAGCCCCGGATCAGCTCAGAGCCCATTGAGCCAGAACCCAAGTGAAGTGCAGGTGGCCAGGCGCGGCCTGACCCCCACTCACCGTCCGGTCCCGGCGGTCCAGCAGGCCCAGGGGGTCCTCGAAGGCCTGGCCGTCCTTCTGCACCGGGTGGGCCAGGGTAGCTTGCAGAGATGCCCGGGTCTCCGGGGGAGCCTTTGATCCCCATCTCACCAGGCCGGCCTCTTCTGCCATCTGGAACCCAGCAGGGTCATAGCGTGTCTTCCGTGGTATCAAGTCCACGGGAGGTGCGGCCACCGTGGGCCTGGGTCCCAGGCCACCATCACCTGGAGGCCAGGCCTCTACACGCCTGCCGCCTCCTCTAGGCTGGCCGTGGACCCGAGGCCTTGCTTTATCCCCTGCACGCCACCCTCAGCACCACCCTCAGCCCCGCCCTCTGAACCCCACAGGGCATGTGCATTACCTTGGTCTATGGGGGGCTGGCCGGGGGCGCCTGGGGGTCCTGGGAAACCTGGGTCCCCTGGCTCACCCCTGCTTCCTGGCTCCCCGTGAGCTCCTGGGAATCCTGGGTCCCCTCTGACACCTGGCGCACAGAGAACAGGAGGAGAGCTGTGAGGGCCACACTCACCTGGTCACGTGTCTGCGAGGACACAGAGCAGCCCGGGATCCTGTCCCAACACAGGGTCCTCTCTGCAGCCCTGCTGGCTTTTCAGCTGTGATCCAGACTCCAGGAAACCTCAGAATGCAACTCAGCCGCATTCCAGCTCAGCAGCAGCCGAAGGCTCCACAGGCAAAGAGGGCACAAGGGAGTGGCCAATCCACGCCAGAGAGAGGTCATTTATAGTTTTAAAAAATTCTTTTTTGAGACAGGCTCTTGCCTCAAACTCATGGCAACCCTCCTGCCTCAGCCTCCCAAGTGCTGGGATGACAGGGGTGTGCCACCACGCCTGGCTAATGGAGCATCTTACAGGCCTCTGTCTCCCCACTCAGAGCCCAGGCACAGAGTGCGGTGGAAAGGGAGGAGCTGCATGAATCCTGGGCTCCTTGTCTGGGACATTTCTGAGAAGTGCACAAGATACATTACCAGCATTAGTTTTGAAGCCAGGAGCCCAAAGCCTCAAAGGGGTTATTTCCATTTTACCAGCATCACTAATCCTGAATGAAGGCAGCCAGTCTCCCACCCCTTCTTAGCAGTTTCAGACTTGGGGGGCACAAAGGGTCCCATGGGTGAGGAGGAGAGACATTCCCAGGGCCTCTGCCGGGCTGGGCTAGGGTCCTCGATGGCCCCAGGACTCCTGCAAGTCAGCAGGAACTCGAGCTCCTGGGGCCGGGGCAGGGGGCGCTCTCTGAGAGTCGCAGTGCTGTCCCAGGAGCCAGATCCTCTGGCCTCTGGGACCTTTGCGAACCCCAGGGAGGGGCGTCCCGGCCTCTGACCCCAAAGGGCACCTCAGGACACCTTAGTTTTGCCTGGCAAAACCTGCCCAGAAGGTTCCGGGCTCCGTCCACAACAGAAGCCAGCGTGCGGGTGCGTACGGGTGCCGTGGCCCCACAGGGAGGGGAGCTGTTCCTACAAACCTTTGGCCAGCGAGGGATGAGGCGAATAGGCGGGGGGTCCCGGGGGGCCGGGTTCGCCTGGTTCTCCCTGGAAAAAGAGCAGAAGAGCACAGGAGTGGCTGGGGCTTTCGACAGGCACATTTCCACAGCCAAGGCCGGACGTGGACACCAGCGTGGCAGACAGCTGTTTGGAGGGGCCCCTGGGTACTGGAGCACCTTGCCCCGCGGCCACAGAGCCTACAGCCTGCTGGTCCCCTCGTGCCACAGCCTAGGCAGCTGCTGCCTGGCTCCTCTGGCCGGCCTGAGTGGCGCTGAGCCACCACGCTGCTCTGTTTGGGTGGGGTGTCCCCTCCCTCCCGGGGGGTGGCAGGCGTGCCAGAAGGGAAGACGGGGGCACTGGTCACCTTGTATCCTGGATGTCCATCAGGGCCTTGGTAGCCGTCCCGGCCTTTGGTTCCCTGCAACAGACATAAACATTTTATTTATCTTGGCTCACACAAACTCGCGTGACCGTGACACTGACTTTGAAAGAGTTATGATAAAATTAAGAACAGTTCATCAAACTCCCTTACTGCCCAGGGTACCAAATTTCCTCCATGTAGACTAAAATACGTCTTTTTCAAGCTCCTCTGCTGACGCCAGGCGCCAAAGCCCAACACAGGATTCAGCTACAATGTGCCTCACGTCTCTTCCAGTTGCAGCAGTTTCTTCCTCCCCTCTGTCTTCAGTGCCTTTTTTACTGTTCTTGCTTTAGAAACTGGACCACCAGTGCTGTTTGTGCTGTGGGGTCTCTGTCTCTGTCCTGTCTGTCCCCACTCAGGTCCAGAGCTGCTCCTGGAGGCTGCTGCCACTTCCTGTGCGTCACTTTGGGGTCACGGACACCATGCCCCACGTTAGCGGCTTCCCGAGTGACCCTGGCCAGGTGTTGGCACCAGGTCCACTGCAAAAATCTTCCCAAGATGAGTTTTGACAAATTTCCACCAAATAGGAGCATGAGCACTTCTTACTTTACGGTTGTCTTTAAAAAAATCTCTAACACTACTCTTGCCCCTGAATCCTTTGGCCCTCTCTTGAAAGAAGGTCCCGGCAACGCCCTGCACCTCGAGGAGGCCGGCAGCCCTGCACAGCTTTCTGTCCCCTCTGTGAAGCCACGTGTGGCATAGTCCCCAAAGTTGCTGCGAAGCGTGCTGGCGGGATCACTCCCAGGAGCTGAAGCCCACGACGGGGACGGCCCACGGAGCTGCCGTGGGTTTTCAGTCAGTCCCCGGCCCGTGGTTCACTCTGAGACTTCTTCTCACACTAGGTGGAGCTGAAGACCCAGAAGCACCCAGTTTTAGATCTTCAAGGAGCTGAACTAGGAAGTCACCAGGGGAGGCAGCAGGTGGGAGCCACGCAAGAACTCAGAAGTGATTCTGCCCGGAAACCTCCGCTTCCGGCTTCTCTACTCCGCTTGGGCCCCACAGCAGGCGCCAGGTTGGGCAGAACTTGGGTGCCATGGAAGAGAGGCCTGGCCGCGGGAAGTCCTGCCGGCCTGCAGGGGCTGTGGATGGTGCTGAGGACCCAGCCTGGAACCAGGGCCACCACGCAGGCCTGCAGGGATGGCTGCTGTCCCGAGCCACAGTGCCCGCCCGAGTGTGTGCCCACGAGTCCGGGTGATCTCTGCCACGGGTCCACGCACTTCCTGGAGCCTGGAGCAGCTCTGACAGGGCACACAGGGCCAAGCACACAGCCAGGGCTTGCTGGTGTCCTGGTCTCCACGGAGCTCTGGGTTCAGCTCGCTGTCCCGAATTGCCAGACTCCTTTGTGTGGGTGCAGAAGGTGGGGACCATATTGAGAATGGGGAAGTTAGTTAGACGCCTTGCAGGCATTGCATGGGGCCGTGGCCTATGAGGCCGAGTCCCAGTGGGTGTGGGACAATGGGAGGCCCGGCGGCGGCTCTGACTGTGCCTGTGGATGGGCGCGGACGGGTCTGAGCGCCAGTGTCTGCTTTAGTCCTCTGTCCCCTCAGGACCTTTGTGCACTGTCATCTGCGGCCTCTGGCCGGGCGGTGTGCACAGCTGTGCTGCCTCTGGGAATGTTCCTGCCACAGTGAATGGTGTGGGAAGTGGGTGCCACCAGAGCAAGGCCTGGCGTCGGACCCCTGGCCTGAGCTGGGTCCAGCGGCCGGGATGAGAATCAGATCTTTGCATTTCCCGGAAGCCATCGGGCTCAGCTGCACGCGAGTGAGCGCTCAGACCCAGAACCAGGCCCACACAGCTAAGCCCAGGGTGGCGAAGGGCGGAACCAGTGAACGCACAAATGCTGAAGCAGAGCGGTGCCTCCACAGCCTCCGCGCATACCGGCTTGGCTCACACACCCAGGCCTCGGCCCTCAACAGCCCACCGACTCACGGAGCACCCTTGCCTAGATGCTAGAAGAGCCCCAAATCCGCCTGCAGAACACGCGGTGGGAATTACGACCGGGGCTGGCACTGGACACAAAGAGTCAAAAGTGTGTCACAGGCGGAAAGCTCCTGAGAGAGACCTCGGCGGCACAGGGTGGCGGGAGGGCCTGGGCGTGGGGCGGGCCTGGGCCTGGGAAGCCTGGCGAGTGTGCAGATGGCCCAGTGCAGGCGAGTCCCATGCATTCTGCCCCCACCCCCCGCAGCCTCTCAGAGCTCCCCGGAGCGGAGCACCCTGCACCTACCTTCTGTCCCGGGAATCCACTCTCCCCATCTAGGCCGGGAGGCCCCTGGTGGGACAGAAGACAGAAATAATTAACAGTGCAGATAAGCAGCCAGCCTGGGCTTTGCCTCTCCGGCGCTGTAGGGATTCTGACCAGCAGCACGGGCACAGTCCTCCCTCCGGGGCAGCAGGGCAGGATGGTGCCGCCAGGGGGGACTACGCTGAGGAGACAGAAGCAGGATGCCCACTGCCGTCCCCGAAGAGCAAAGCCACCCTTCCCACAGGCGCTGCGAGGGCACCTGGGGATGCGAATTTTCTAAAGGAAACAAATCATTTTAACTGCATTTCTGTGTCTCAGAACTTCCACCCATTAAAGAGGAGTGGAGAAAGCACAGGGATAGGGCAGGATTCAGAGACCGGCATTAGGACGGCTTCCGTCCTGCTGTGGAGACTAAACCACGGCTCTGCAGGGCCTGACAGTCACAGGTCCAGGCGAGGGCTCTGCTCACACCACACTGGGCTACGCCGGGCCAGGTGCTGCCAGCAGAGGGGGCGGGGGCACCTGGCTGTCAGGGCTGAGCCTGGTCCAGGACATTCTTGTTGACTCTCGGGGCAGCCAGAAGTTGACTGCAGTGCTGATGCTTCAGGCGTCTAGGGACCGGAGGCCAGGCAGCCGAGGAGCAGGACAGTTTCTCCTCATCCTCCACGCAGGGGCGCCAGGTAAGACCCCAGTGGTGGATGATGGTCCATTGGGTGTGTGGACCACTGGGGACACAGGGCCCTGGTAGGGGGACATCCACAGCGGGAGGCTGTGCTCATGGGGTAGGGCAACAGGAAATCCCTGTCCTTTCTGCTCCATTTTTCTAGGGACAAAACCTCATCAAGGAAATGCTACTTAAAAAGCAAGACCAAACCAAACAGCTGATGCAGTTATAAAGCAACGGAGACAAATTAAACGTGTTCATTTCCCCGAGATGAATGTAATTACCGTGTATCGCGCACACACACGCTTTAGAAAAAGGACTCAGTGCAGTGCATGGCTTACCCGTGCTCCTGGAAAGCCCAGGATCCCTTCTTCTCCCTTGTAGGAAATGCCCTAGAAGAGAGCGAAGGGGTGTCAGGGCCACCAGGGTCCGGCCAGGCCCTGCGGCACTGCAGGGTGGGAAGAGCTTTTGTGACTGGACTTACTTTGATCCCTGGTTCTCCTGGACTGCCCTTTTCACCCTGTGAAGAACAGGAAAGACGAGAAATGCTCATTAATTTCAGAACAGTAATAGCTACAAAACCATACAAAAGTGTGACGAATGAATCCTAAATTCTGAACCTTCAAAATTACAATGAGAGAAAAAGGATTATTTCTTCCAGACTTCACAAGATAAGTGAAATCCTGCTCTCGTGGGGCAGGCCCACTCCCTGAGCCATGGCCGGTTCCTCGTGTGGATCTTCCCAGGTGGGGTCTTCCACGGTCTCTGCCGCCACAGGGGAAGCCCAGGCTGGGCTGGAGAATGATGCTATTCATTCCAACACAGTGCTCACATCTGGAAGGTTCTCTGAGGAAAGCCACAGTGCAACATTCAAATCTCCAGGACTGCAGCTGCAGGAAGCCATCAGTTTCTCTGCTCTTTTCTCAGGCCAGGTTCTTGGCCTGCTCGCCTGGGTCAACAGCCAGCTTCCCATGGCTCACGCTTGCCCCCTGCAGGCCGCTGGGAGTCACCCTCTTTGGTAAAGGAGGAGCTTCCAGGGGCCCCTGGCTCCCTCCCCCTCCCGCTGCTGTCCTGAACCTGGATAGAGGCCCCACGGCCACCTTGGAAGCCACACCTATCGATGATCAGCAACTCAGGCTGTGGCTGCAGGGTTGATTTCTGTCCTTAGATGGCCCTGGCTGCCAATCCTGCCTGTGCCTGAGGTCCCAGCTGCCACCGTGACAGACGTCTGGGGCTGGGATCCTGCTCCACGGGAAAATGGGATCTCCATGTTTTGTGTTGTGTGTCCCACACAGTCTTGAAGTCACTCCCTGGCTCTCTGAGCCGATGCAGCCACCTCCATTTGACCAAGGGACACAGGATGGTCAGTGGAGGTGACCTGCCCGAGCCAGGAGGGGGACAGCGGATGTGAACTCCACCACGGACCAGGGTGCACGCTCAACCACATGAAGCACTGACTGAACATAGGAGCAGTGGAAACTGATCTCGAGCCAGAAAACAAACAAAACGCACAACCAGGTGCTTCACAGGAGGAAAGAAGAAACGTGGGTTTCATTTTTGGAACACAACACTCTGCTCAGGTGTTCGGAAACCCTGGACTTGAGTTATGCTCGGCTCTGTATCCAGTGTCTACCTTGCAGACTCGCATAGAAGGGGAGATGTGAGGTTTTTAATGGATTCTCGTGCTGCTCTGAGTCCATCACAATTGTGTAGGAGCACACACTACTGAGGCAGTTTCCCTGAATCTAGAACACTCTGGAAGCATCCAGAATGTCCCAGGGCCGGCTGTGTCTGACGTATAATTCACTGATTTGTTGGTGACACTGTCACCACTGGGGTGTGGTCTCAGAACGGACCGAAGACAGTCCTCGGCCCCCTGCCTTTTCTAGCCCAGCTGAGACACCAGCGCCCCTTACCTTATACATGTCAGGGTGGATGGTGGTGCCCTTAGGTGCATCAACATCGTGAATGGTGTCGGACGGAATTCCATTGGGTCCTGGCTGGCCCTGGTCACCCTGTGTGTGGGGTGGCAAAAGCAGTTGTTTTAGGCAGAAAAGAAGTACAGCAGCACAAGTGGGGTGAGCCGCACCTTGGAAACAGCCTGTGTGTCTGTCTGCAGATGAATGGATGAAGGAGATGGTGTTTACACACAGTGGAGCACTACTCTGCCAGAAAGAAGGACGAACCTGAGTCCTCTGTAGGAACTCGGATGAGTCTGGAGACCGTGATGCTGAGTGAGATCAATCAGATGCACAGCTTAAATAAGGCATGGCTTCTTTTATATGAGAAACCCAAAGCATAAATAAAGAGGTAGGTAGCAGGAAACAGGGAGATGGATCTTTTGCAAATGGAAAGAGGGCCAGAACTTGGAGGCGGAGGGCATGCCGTGAATTGGGGTGTCAGGCCCATGAATGGATATGAATGGGCACAGAAGCTCGTAGTTACAAAGACAGAAATAAAAATAAAGGTTGAGAAAGGTACACAGCTTGATAAATTTTGCACATGAGCACACCCAGCTTGTCCTGCAGCAGCTGTACTGGAGCAGAACAGCAGGAGCCAGTGACTGTAATTAAATTTCCTGCCCGCCTGGTGGGAATGGTGCACAGCAGTGACGCCTCTGGCTCTGCCCCAATCGCAGGGTGTGACCTCCGACTGTCCCTGGAGGGTCCCCAACCCGCCCCTGCCCGCCTGCAGCCTGGCCTCCACACCCCAAGAGACTCCACAGCTTTCCTTACCTTTTCCCCCTTTTCTCCATAAAAACCAAGTCCTCTGTTGCCCTGGGAAGGTAAACGGCTTCTGAGTTTTTAAAGGATCAGTTACATTTTTATGAAAAAACCCCAGCGCCCCTGTGCACGACACCCCCGAGCCCACATCCCCAGCTGGGACGTGGCCGGGCCCTGTCTGGGGGCCTCTGGGGACACCGTGCACATGGGCCTGGCCGGCGTCCGGCCCCAGCTCCTCCCAGAGTCCACACCCACCCCGCACTGCCCTCTCCCTCTTCTTCTCGTGACCCAGTATCACCCTCATTTCACGCACACACTTCCTATCTTCGGATGATTTTAAGGGATTTAAAATCAGTCAAAATGTGACAATTTGGCGATTCTTAGGGTTCAGTCCAGCTTTTCCTCCTCCTCCTGCCCAGGAGACAGGGCCGCCCTAGCCAGGCAGAACAGACCCCTGAGGCTGTGGGATGGGGCGCAGCCCGGCTTCTCCCTGCAGCCCCCACCTGCTGCCGCCTGGTGCTGGGAAGAACCCTCTCAGTAAGCTTTTGGTTTTGCTCCTCTCCACCTGGCTGGCTGCCATCAAAGCCCTGAGCAGGGCCTGGCTGGAGGAGGCTGTTTGGTTTGCAGTGGGGCAGCCCGGGAGGTCTGAGGCCGCTGTTCCGAGGCCCACAGACTCGGGTGGGCACCGCTGTGGCCCTGTCTGGATGGGGCTCCTGGATTTCCTTCTGCACCCTGGCAAGCCAGGCTCAGCAAACCCCTGTCAGCACCACCTGTCCACCTCCGGGTCACAGCGAACCCCAGCCCTGTCCTCTGTTTCCGACAAACCAGCTGCAAGGCTGTGCTTCCTCCAAGCTTCCACCCCTGAGGCACACAGCCCAGTGTGGGCTGCGGTCCAACCTCAGGCTCTGGCAGGACCCCATCACACCCCAGCACCTCCCGCCCATTCACAGGAGATAGACACCGGCCGCCCCTACCGTGGCCTATGCTACTTATTGTTATTTTGAGAGGGTCTCATCATGTCGTTCAGCCTGGCCTTGAATTTACTGTGTAGCCCAGGCTGGCTTTGAACTCCTGGAGATCATCCTGCCTCAGCATCCTGAGTGTTGGGATTATAGGCATGTGCCACCACATACATATTGAAAATGCCACCTTTCTTTCTCTTTCTCTTTGACTTTTGAGACAGGGCGCGGCTGTGTAGTTCAGACTAGCCTGGAACTTACTATGTAGCACAGACTGGCCTCAGCCTCTCAACTGCTAGGATTATAGGGTAGGCGTGTGCCACCAGGCCTGGCTTTTTTGTTTGTTTGTTTGAAGATGCTACATTTCCAAATCATTCGTTGGTGTGATTTTTCAGATAGCATCAGGAATGTGCTAACCAAGCTGTTTGCAGACATGGACAGCTATGGAATAGACCAGGAATCACAGATGCACCCCTGACCAGAGTCTTAAACTCCACAAACTGCTTCTCGCCGTAGTCTGACACACAGCTGCTGGCTGAGTGGTTCCTGGGCAGAAACGTGCACACACAGCCCAGCCCTTCCCCACCCCGTCCCGTCCAATACTCACCGGCTCTCCTTTTGGCCCGGGGGGTCCAGGGGGGCCCTGCAGAAACACAGAGACATTTGCAGACATCTGCTAGGGGCCCTGGGAAAGCCACTCTCTGCTGCGAGGATGCCACCTTGCTGGGGAGAGGCTGGGACGGCTGGGTCAGCGGCCCTGACCCACTGCCTGCTGTGGTGGCCTCTGCCCCGTCTGCTCTGCTCCTGTGTGTGGGCCCTGCACCTCACCGCGTCCTTGCTGCGCCTCTCTGCGACCCCACCCTGTGGCTTTGCCTCAGCTCCCAATCCCTCGGGGCTCCACACTGTGTGGCACGGAGTGGAGGTGGGTGGCCCTGACTCCTGCGGGAAGACAAGCTACAGGGCAGCACCTGGTACCCAGACAACACAACGAGCGGGGGGTGGGGTTCACGGCCGTCAGACAGGACATAGCCTGCTCCAGACTTTCCCGTGCTGTGTTCCTAAGGCCCAAGGCCCGAAATCGGGAGTAAGCTGGCGACCGGTGCAGTGACCGGCACCTGCAGGACCTGCGTCCTTCCGCCCAGCGACTCTGTGCCACAGACAGGGCTCCTTGTGAGACACTTTAATGGCACCAAAGCAAGATCACTGTTCACGCTGTTTCCTCTCAGGATCTGTTGGGAGTGGGCAGAGCCTCTGGGACGGCCTGTCCCAGTCTGGGGCTCTCTCACCTCGGGCCAGAGCCTCGCCTGTGTCTGGCCCGTTTGTCTCACTGCTAACGCCTGGACAGGCAGCGCATCTGCAGACTTTTCACTGCGGCCCAGGCCTGTGTGGGGCCTTGGGACGCAGCAGCCCCTTCTTCCCCAGTAGCTCCCTCATCCTAGCTGGGACCCCTCTGGTGGCCAGGCCGGGTGTGACGTGTGACTTTCACTGGGATGGCTGAGGCCCAGGCTCCTTGGTCCTCCCACGAGAGGCCCTGCCCGGGAGGAGCCCAGCGCCCCTGTGACGGGGGACCTTCAGCTCTGCCCAGTGGTGATGGCCTTTGTCGTGTGGTTGGGCGTGAGTCCAGGTCTTCATGCCTGGAAGGCACGGGGGAGCCCAGGCCAAATTAGGTGTGGCTGGCAGTGAGACAGGACCCCGCCCAGGTCCTCCCTGAGGCCTTAGCGTAGCAGCGGGAGTGTGAGAAAGGCCCGCTCTGTCCTGGAGGTGCCACAGGGGCCCTCAGGCACCGCTGCTCTTTGAGCTTCCCTGCTCGAGCAGGTGAAGCAGCAGCACGTGTGGACGGCCTGGCCCCGAAGTGTGTGGGTGAACTGTACTCACCGGTCTTCCCTGGGCTCCGACTGGGCCCATTGGCCCCATGGGCCCGGGGCGGCCGGGCGGGCCCTGTGGACAGGAAATGAGACAGTTGGGAGGAGGCGCGGCCCTGAGCGCAGGGTCCTGCTTGGACGATTTCTAATCAAAATCAAACTCACCTGGAAACCAACCAGCCCAGGCTCTCCCGGTTCGCCCTGGTGGAGAGGAAACAATTGTTCAGAGTGAGTACCTTTGAGCGCCTTTAGATTTGGCTTCATTCTGCTACAGAATTGGAGACAAGCACGCAGAACACACCGGACTGGGTGGCCTACTTGACTCGTAACACTGGTAAGGGTGCGCCACGAACTAACGCAGGATCGCAAAGGTCCCCGATGGAAATCATGACTTTGCATGAATCGCAACTTTGTATCATTCCATTATTCCAAGAAATTCCTCACCAAATTCATCCCTATACAGAGAGCTCGCTAGGTTGGGAGTTTACACGGGACCTCTGAGTTCCACCTCCCACCTCCAGCCACATACCCTGTATCTGTCTCGGTCCTCTCTGGACAGTGCATACGGTTCCCCTTTCTGGCCCTTGGGTCCTTGGGGCCCCTAGATTAGCAGATATTTCATAAAAAGAGAAACACAAGAAAGTCGGTTAATAGTCAGTGTAGGACAAATAGCCAATGCCTCTGTTCCCATGGCTCTGCAGTCATCCCGAACACCAACCCTAGGTTCAGTTCCTGATTCCGTATTCACCCAACAGGGTCTTTCCTCAGAACTACAATGGAAATGCTTCATGGGCTTGAGCTTAGATTAAAAAACCCAAAAGAAGCCTCTAAACTTTTCTTCTAGCATATCATTGACCGGGGGCCCTGAGCACTGCGGGGAACACAGGAGGGGCTGAGGCTCTGCCACCACGGCCGGAGGGGTCCCCAGGATGCTGAGGCAGCTGACCTGCCCTCCAGGGGGCTCCCCAGGACACTGCCCTCCTACAGCCTGGCCCAGGGGTCTTTCCTGCATTTACGCAGATGGTGCCCACCCAGCTCTGGCCACACGGACCCACCCTGTACCCCACTCACGAATGTGCCAGGGAAGCCATCCGAGCCGGAGGGGCCTTGTGGGCCTGTGTCACCCCTGGTCCCATTGCAGCCGTCGTAGCCCGGCCTTCCCCTGGGCCCGCCCTGGCCCGGGTAACCCTGGGAAAGAGAAAAGCAGGTGAAGCTTCCAGCCCACGCAGGTGCTGGTTTGTTCATAACTGTGCCATGTGACAGCTGCCTGTGTTCAAGGAGGCCACAGTCACGCGTGAGTCAAGGAAAGCACCAGGAACATGGACCGAGGAAGGAGTGGAAGATTAGACACGGGCACATGGGGGCTCTCAGGCCGCCTGCCTGCTCCCGGGTGGCTGTCTTGTCCAAGGAGCGTGCAAGGGCAGCTTCTAAACTTCTGCAGAAGACCCCAGGAGCCAGCCAAGCTTCAGACAGTGAGCCAGAGGTGGCCGGCAGACGCCTCCACCCCATGACTCCGGGTCCAGAAGGCACAGGGGCGAGGCTGGTGACATACAGTGCATGCGCGGTGTAGACTGCAGCCTGCTCGGGGTCCCATCCTCAGGCGGCAGATTCTGAAGCCTACACTTTCAGTGGTGCAGCATCGTCGCAGCTTTGGATTCCTTGATCATGTATTCCAGAAGATTCTCCAGACCATAAGATGTCTTAGATTTCCTTCAAGAGCAATGCATGCACCCTAAGCACAGTGCCTCGTGACCCAGGTGGTGTCGGGAAATGCAAGGAGGGAGGTGGACATCTTTGATCCGCACAAGTTTTTGCTTCAGGTGCCGGAAGCCGTGCTTTGAAGTGTTTCTGTCAGGCAGGGAGGCTCTGGCGAGTCAGAGGAGCCCCGCTGCCCCTGTAAATCTGTTACGGCAGCCAAACCTATTAGTGGAGCCAGCTGCTGATGACCCTTAAATAAGGATGCCAGGACCTTTTCTAAAAGCTGGTCTTCAGCTTCAGCCCAAGAAAACAGCTCTCCGAGTTCTGCCCAAGATCTTCTTTGTCTGATGGTGCCTTTGCCTAAAACGTACCCTCACATCCTTTGTTCTTTTCCTGGAATAGCTGCCTGCAGTTTCTTTTCAGAAGAGAACTATGTCACCTGCAATAATCACATACTACTCTGACCTTAGCTTGAAATTGGGCTTCTGAGAAAAACTTGTATCAAGCTAAGTGTGCGTGTGTGGTCTCTCATCGAATTTGATCCGTGTCTGCAAGACACATTGCAAGCTTTTCCTGACTATCACTTTCCATGAAGCCTAAACGGCTAAAATTACAGGGGTCCCCGTGCCACATCGCTGAGCTGACCAGTTACGACAGGCGATGCCGGTCAGTTTGAGCAGCGCCTCCATGTCGTACAGATGGTCTGTTCCCTCCTCCTTAACTGGCGAACTGTCTGCTTCCAAATCAGCTGAGTTCACAGCAGAAACAGGAATGCGCATGAGGGGCAGACCTGTTTCCATTTTTATCTCTCAATACTACCTTAGGGTTTCGAGTTTCCAAGGATGACCAACGGACAGTCCAGAGTCAAAACGACGTTGAAAAGTGGCTGGCAGAGTGTGACGCCCCCGTTAGGAAGATCCTCCGCTATTTCTTTATCAGGTGCCTGAGGATCCCAGCAGGACAGTGGTTTCCCTCTGCTCCTGGCTTTGCGGTGAGACCGAGGGTGGACCTGAGCCGGCCAGAAGGGGATGCCAAGGCCCCAGCCACACGGGCCGTGGTGAACATTACGTCGTTCCTCTTCTCTGCTTCCACCCTCTGCTTCTACTCTTACGGACGTCTCCTCACACGAGGCAAGTGTGAACTCCGTTAGCTCGCCGCTCATCCCTGCGTGTGCACGCTCGAATGCTTGCGTGTGTGGCGTGATGTTCGTGCCGACATGTACACCAATGGGAAGACACGCGTGCAGGTTAAGGGCACCGACATCTGTGTCTCCATGTGAGTCCTGGGCAGCAGATGTCTTGGAACTGCGGCCGCAGACGAGGGAAGGCGCGAGCACGCACCACAAACATCTGTCCCCAGGTCAGATCCGGCCTGGAAGCAGGCCTGGGAGACCGCGCTCGCCTCCCTCAGAGGAGTGCCGTGAGTCAGGCTGTTCGGTTTGTTATTGTATGCCACAAGAAGTAAAGCAAACTAGCTTAGAAAAACATATTTTAGTGCACTGTGAGATTTTCTCAGGAACGGCCCGTGCTTTTCCCTTTGCTCATGCTGTGTGCCGTCGCCCAAGGGCCCGGACGCTCGTCTGCCCTGGCCATCGGTCCAGTGGTCCCCGAGAGGCCCAGGCTGGCCAGGGCCTCATGTCATGAGAGGCCTGGGGTGCTTGCTCCAGTGCTGGTGAGGAAACCGCCCCGGGCCGACCAGTTCAAGGCAAAGCCATCGTGCTCACGCCTGCTCTGAATGGCTGAGGAGGCCCCTTCCAGATGCTTCCCCATGGCGCGGTGCTGCCCACAGCGCACGCAAGGGCTGAAAACCCCAAGTGCCACAGCACTTACCGGAATTCCGTTGGCCCCGGGGAATCCAGAAACGCCTCTGGGGCCCTGTGAGGAAGAAGAACAAGTTAACCAGGGCCCATGCACCCAGTGCCTCAGAAGCACAGGACTCCGGTGACTTCCTTACCACATCTCCTTTAGGTCCTGGCGTCCCGGGAGCTCCTCGCTCACCCTTGTCACCTTTGCGGCCTTGCAGCCCTGGGAACCCCTGCAGTCCTGGGGGCCCGCTGAAGCCTGGAGGGCCTGCTGGTCCTGGAAGGCCCTGTGGGACAACACATGTTCAAGTTCACAATTAAAGCAAAACACCTGTGGTGCACACCTATAATCCTCACTCTGGGAGGCTGAGGCAGGAGGGTCACAAGTTTGAGCCCAGCCTAGGCACTCTTAATTTAGTGGGACCCTGTCTCAGAATGAAAAATAAAAAAGGGCTGGGGATGTAGCGCTGTGCAAAGGCCCTGGGTTCAATCCCCAGTACTGCAAAAACCAAAACAAAGCAAACCCCAAAATCGCCTACCCACCCCACCAAGACTCTCCTCTCCAATCCACTGTGACGTCCCACACTCGGTTCACTCTCAAAGAGCTGCGGTCTTCAGAGGGCTTTAAGCCAACCGCCACCTTCTCCAGGGCACTAAAGAGGGATTCCGCTGGACCAAATGGTACGGAGTCTGTGGGAGAATTAAGTGTGAGGCAACACGGCCCTTCCGGGCGGCACAGAGCCCACCGACTGGCTCCATCTGCATCTTGCTGGTGTGAAAAACGAAGCCCCACACAGAGGCATGCAAGCCCAGCTCTGTGTTCTCAGGGCAGCTTGTGTGGTGAGGCGTGGAAATACACACTGCGTCCAGGGCAGACACATCCCGCGTTGGCTGATCTCTCCTTTCTGTTCACACTCCCAGAAGTGATTCGGAGGAGGCGTGTCAAACGCTGCCTCGTCCACACTCTTCCGTGAGGGGCGGGGGCGCAGAGAAATCAGAGCCCTGCCCATGGCGGGGTGGGAGGCGGAGTGCGGGGCAGGCGGCCCCCAAATCACAGTCCCTCAGAGACCCGGGGAAGCTGGGCAGGGCTCTGCAGCCCATGCGACCCAGTGTAGCAGCGAGGCTGGGACCAGCACGGAAGCCCTGCCCTCCTACCCAGCCAGCTTCGCTCCGGAAGGGAGGCAGGCAGATCGGGAGCCAACCGCGGTTCCGAGATCCAAGACATCAGCCAAGTGCAGGCCTCACGCCACTGACCAGGACGCCCAAGGGCGGCGGAAGAAGCCCCCGCCGCTGTCTCTGCGACCTCCCTCCTGAAGACCCTGTCTTCAGGGCTCACCCCAAGCTCCATTTTGGCCCTGGGACGTTTGGGGCCTGTCTGCCTTTCAGGGCTTTGAGCTCCCTGCTGCACACACGTGTGCGGGCAATTCCGGTTTCAATTCCTGTCCCCACCAGCAAGGCACAGGGGCTGATTTCTCTGCAGCCTCCTGCACTTTTATCTGCTGTCACTTTTGGGCCCGGCCACCCTTGGAGGGTCAGATGGCTCTGCTTCTGCATGGTTCTCCCGGATCTTCCTCTGGGCAGAAGGGGCGGGAAGCCCGGAGGATCATGCACCAGACGCTCACACCCAGGACTCAGCACCCACTGCTCTCCACCAGGTGACCCCGGTGCTTCTGGGCCAAGCCAGACCCACTAGGGCCAAGGCTGTCCTGCGAAGTACTGGCCGCCAGAGGGCGCTGTGTGGCGCAGCTGGAATGGGGGGTCCACAGGGGGCGCTTCCTTCCCTGGTCCCCACACCATGGCCCAGCCCAACAGCTCAGCCCGGCTGGAAGAGTTCTTCCCCTCTCTTCCTTTACTTTCTTAACAAGTATGCTAACAATGAGAATTGACCCAGAGAGAGTAGGAGTCTTCTTTAACTGCCTGTGCATAAATCTCAACATTTCCTGAATTCCTAAAGCTCCTAAAATTCCTGCAATATCCATGAGAAGTGCATTTCTGCAAAATATTTCTTAGAAGTCAGCAGATGCTACGGGAAGGACTTAAGATCCGATCCCACAAGCATGCCCAGCAATTAACAGAGCCGTACCACGTCCTGGATGTAGGACACTGAAAAATATCACTTAAGACTGTACGCGATGTGATCAGAAAATGCGGTGAATGTTTAAATTTAAAAAATTACACATACATGTACCAACTTCCCACAGAGAATGTAACACTATGTACTACGTACATGTACTGGTAGACAAAAATTATTTCAGTAGAAGGCACATTGTAGGAATTCCCTCAAAACCCTCCCCCTTGCTTTGAACATATTTATTCCATTTTTCTTGCCATTTCTTTTTTTTTTCTCTCTCTTTTGGTACTGGGGATCGAATTCAGCACCTTACACCTGCCAGGATTTTCTTGCCATTCCTGTGCAGCTCTGGAGCCCTCTCTCCTGAGTGTCTTTGGTTGCGCTGCCCTGGCTGCCTCGATGCCCTGCATCCAATCAACACATTTCCCTTTCCTGGTCATTCTGAGTTTCGGGGGGAGCCAGGATTTGCACAGTGCCAGATCCAGTAACTAAGATGGACAAGGGCTCGGCATCATGTTTTTTTTTTTTTTTTTTTTTTTTTTTTT